AACCACCGATTGCACCCGAATCAGAACCGACCAATCAACGCGTACCCGAATATGACGTAAGCAAGGCATGCGCAAGCTGAACGAGTTTTAGACAATTGATGAGCATACCCTTGTATTTTTATCATGTGTACAACCAGCGCACCACAGACATATAAGAAAAGTCATCACGCTCGGTCACAAGCAATAGGATTGGGAAGAGAGAGAAGAGAGATATGGTTTTAAGTTTAAACTTGTATAAAACAGAGGGTCTTGTGTAATAAATTATGAAACGTTTGTTTACTCCACTCATGTGGCACTTTAAGTTAAATTTTTAATATTATTATTATTATTGAAATAATGATAATATTAATAAATTTAAACTTAGTCATTATGCCACATGAGCGGAGTAAACAAGCGTTTCAATAATTTATTAAGATACTCTCGATGGTTTGCCATTGCCTTCCGAGAGGAGCTGCGAGCGTTCGAAAACATTTTTCGGTTCTGCCTGGGATCGAACCCGGGATCTCTGGTATAGCAGTCTCTGGTATAGCATGCGCTGCCTGCTACGCCACGCTCGCACTCAAAATTATATCTTTGTATTATTAATAAGGTGTTGTATAAAGGTTATGCGTTTCGCGGGTTTCCTCCGTGTCCAGATCCATTCTTGAGATGCCAACGTTTCGTGAACCTTACAGTCCACTTCATCAGGGCGAGGGGCAGCCTGATACTGAGCTGTTCCTCCAGACCGTTCCTTTTTATATTACGCTGCTTGTATCTCTATGGCTTCTCTATACTTTCTTGGAAAGTATGATGTACTGTTGACTATTGTGGTCGTTTTGTCAAACAGTATTTGATGTTCTGTTTGATGTTGTGTTCTGATAGTGCCGACTGCATGGTATGTTTTAGTCTGATATCACGTTGGTGTTCTTTAATTCGTAGGTTGACCATTCTCCCGGTTTCTCCGATGTATACTTTCCCGCAGGAACAAGGTATTTTGTATACTGCGGAACTGAGTGGAGGTCTTTGATCTTTAGGATTTCTTAAGATTTGTCCTATCTTTTTGGGTGGTGGTTTGAAGATAGTTCGGATATTGTGTTTGTTTAATATCATGCCAATCCGATCTGTTAATAAGGTGTTGTATTATTTAGCACCTAAAAATGTAAGTATTTACAACAGTTGGATCTTTCAAAGTGTAACTATTTATCTGTTCTGAATTTTGGAAAATTTCTTGTTGTGGTAGTTTCTTAACGCACTATGGATTGAATTGTTGCTCACATATCAACAACATTGCTACTTCAAATTTCGAGAATATACAAAAATTCGAAAGGTATATATATATATATAAATGATTATTATAAGCATGAGCAAATTGTATGGTCTCTCAATACATATATTTTTTTAAACATTAAATATAAGCATATTCAGGCCTATGACGGTCAAAACTAGATCTTTTTTTGCCTAAATGATTCCCAGTGAATTATCTATATCTTATATATGTACAGGGTGTTACAGACACATACTAGGCTATGATGGGTTGCGCGGCAAACTTTGCATGGCCAAGCGTGGTTTAAATATCAAACATACATATCTATTTTATTTTAAATTTCAAAAGTGGACTGATTCAGCCATAGAAAACAGACCTCATAAGAAATTGACCAATTACCCCGGATCTACAATAGGTATTTCAAGCCTTAAGCCGTAAGAAATTGACCAATTACTGGCTGCGGTCCTCTTAACGCTACAAACGCTTCGAAGCGTTTTTTGATTAGTCAATTTGTAAAATTCTTTGTTCTGATTTATTACTCAAAAGGTGCGATTTCACGCTGACGCTAGACGCTCATTTTCAGCGTCAAAACAGGTCACGTGATCAAAATTGACGCTTGGTATTCGTCAATTTTGATCATGTGACCTGTTTTGACGCTGAAAATGAGCGTCGAGCGTCAGCGTGAAAAGACACCTAAACGCTTCGAAGCGTTTGTAGCGTCAAGTGGACCGGGGGTGATCCCGATTGATCACGGCTCTATTGGACACCACCAATCACAGCGACCGGTGCTTAGGAGCTTTGTAGTCTCAAGCGCTGTGAGTGGCTCTTGTCCAATTGAGTCGTGTCCAACTGGGTGCCACCCGTGGACCGCAGCCACAGTCGAATCCGAGAAGAATAAGCGACTGTGATTCGTTCATTTCTTATGGCTTAAGGCTTAAAACCCTATTGTAGATCCGGGGTTACGGAACGCACCTCAAGACACCGGTTGAAAATTGAAATAATCTTTGGAATAGAAGAAATCTACTGTATCGGTATTTTCGTATCTCTCTTACCGTTGTTCAAGGTTCAAGGACCGCTACCGTGATTAGTGGGTCATTTATCTCTGAGTTCTTTTAATTCTTCTGATGCCTCATCAGTCTACGTCAATCTTCAGTGATAATTAGTACTGTTTCTGCGCAACTGAAAGATTTGGTGAATCTATGAGCCATGGCATTGTTGAGAATTGGCAGTGTGGAAATATTGAATACTTTGACTCGTGTCTCGCGCGCAGGTACAAGTTACTTTTCACAAATTGCATTATTATTTCGCTTCGTTTTATCCATAGATATGCAATAGATATATATTGCGAAGATCCAAGTGTGCCGTTGTTTCTGTTTTTGTAGTTTGAAAAATGGAGTCAAAAATACTAAGAAATGAAAAAATTGCATATATAGTCTGCTACACATGTAGTCATTCTAACTTTCTAATTTATCATGATTATATCAGATAGTATACTTTTTATGATTTATTTATATTCTTAGAAATCATTAAAAATATGTAGAGCATCTTTGCAGTATTATATATATATATATACAACATATTATTTAAATTACATATTTTCTTTCTAAAAAACCATAAAACCAATATTAACACATTTATCTTAGGCTGTGGTTAAAATCTCACTACAAATGCTTCGAAGCGTTTGATGAATTAGAAGAAAGAATTTTACAAACTGACCAATTAAAAAACGCTTCAAAGCATTTGTAGCATCGCGTTGACCGTACCCTTAATGAGAGATACTAGCTTTCTCTATGCTTTCTCAAC